GATGAATGGAAAAATGGTTGAAGGTCGGACTAAACTGCATGGGAACTACTTAATAGTATCATACTAACGTTTCTATTCCTATCAAGTTTTTTAGCATGAGCTACTGACCATTGCTTCTGTCCGTCAAGTAGCTAGGTAGGGTATACGTACGAGTACAGTATCATTGAATCGACAATAGTACCTAACTCCTCCCTGCTTTCCCCCTTTCCCCCCGAAGCGCTACGAGCAGGGATGTCTTCTTCTCGTAGGGGGGGGGGCGGGAGTCGAGCGACAGGTCGACCATGCATAACTACTTATTATTTTTTATCTCTCTCTCATCTCCCCCCCCAGCCGGGGGGTGGCGGGAGTATGGCTGTCACTAGATTGGAGGAGGTTAGGAGCCACACAAAACAATAGAGAAGAGCAGACACCTTTTGTTAATAATAACCCTATGAAGGGGGCGAGCGTGTTATCGTATCATCATGCTGGGAAAAGGGGGGAGTCCCGCTGCTACCCGTGAGATTGTTTTTTCACCACCCCTCCCTCCCCCTCAACGGGGGGGGGTGGTGGTTTTCGTCGCTAACCTCTGGGAGGGAAAAGCAAAGTAACAAAAAAAAAAAAAGAGAATAAAAAAAAAAAAACACCCACCCCCCTCCCCTACCGGAAGGCATACGCACGGCTAATCCCCACTCTCCCTCCTCGCCTCCCCTACCCCTCCCCTCCTCCCCCTCGTTCCCTTCCCCCTCCTCCTGCTCCCCGTCTAGCATCTTCCTCGCACTAGCATCGTCCTCTCCCGACCGCCCTCGCCCCCGACCGCCTTTCCTTCCTCCTCCTCCGTCTCTCCCTCCTCCTGCCATACAGAGAGTCCCGCAACCGCAGAGTCCGGCAGTTCAAGGCAGGAGCTGCCCGTGTCGAAGGCGCCGATCAGTTGAGTAGCGCGGGGAGTGTTAACCCCTCCTGCTCCAGCTCCAGCTGACGAGGACAGGATGACGTGCCGACCGTACCGGATCTCTCCGATAACGACCGAGTACCCGCTGTTGAGAGCTTGTCAGCCCCGAGCAGGCGATCGCTCCCTCACCTGCTGTCTGCCACCTCCAGGAAGGAAACTGCTCCGTCCTGCGTCGCAGCGTCATCGTACCCGTCGACCTGCAGCTCTCCGCCTTCCTCCCCAGCTACGATCGTGAACATCTTCCTCTCCATCCTCCTGAAATTCTTCGGCTCCTCCACGTGCCACTCCTTCCTCTCCCCTCGCTCAAGCTCTTCAGCACCGACGCTGAGTTCGGTTCCGCCGAGTATGCCAGTCCCAGCACTCCGTCAGCTCCTCTGAATGCCTCCTCTCTCCTGTGAGCTCTTGTGCTAAACCTGCCACCCCCATCAGTTTTGCTTGTCAGCACCATCCTCCTCCTCCTCCTCCTCCTCCTCCTCCTCCTCCTCCTCCACTATCACTACATCCTGCTCCTGCTCCTGCTCCTGCTCCTGCTCCTGCTCCTGCTCCTGCTCCTGCTCCTGCTCCTGCTCCTGCTCCTGCTCCTGCTCATCATCATCCCTTATGTTGGCAAATCCAAAGTTCTCTTCGCCATCGCATCTTCTCTTCTTCCCTCTTCCTCCCTCCTCCGTCTCACCGGTGGATCGCAGCGAACGGTCCGATCCGGATCACGTCCTGAGCGATGCTGAGCGCCACCTCCTTGCCCTCTGCCCGCCAGCTGTTGGAGGAGGAGTCAACCACCTCGTCGAGCACTTGGAGGCTGTCGGAGTCTTGCGGGTAGAAGCCGTGCCCGTCATGGTGGAGGGAGCGACGTGGACGATCGGAGGCAGGATGGAAGGAGGAGACAGTCACTGTCTTCATGTCCCCCCCCCTCGCTGCATCTTCTGAAACTGCTGAGATGATGCAAGAGAGGAGGAGGAGCGCAGGTTTAGCAGGTCGAAAGGTGAGCAGCGTCATGGTGAGATCTACCATGATCGCTCATTGATCCGAGCCAGTGGAAGCATTCGGATAGAGCGGGAGGAACCCCAATCGACCTGTTCACACCAACGTGACAAGCCTTCACAACTATCCCTTCCCCATCGCGTCAGTCAGTCTTTCTCCCTCCCTCCATCTCCTCAGTCAGCCTCAGTCTCAGTCCCAGACACTCTTCTTCTCTGCCTGCCTGCCTGCCTGCCTGTCTTCTTCTCTTCCC